TGAAGGTTGGAGTTTCTGGGAATGCGAAGCATAACACTGAGGAGAAGCACCGATTAAGTAGGAGTAGATCGGGTAGGGCACTAGGAAATGGTGCCTCTGAAACCGTCGTGAAATAGGATTGAAGGGAGACATTTCCTATTGTGGTGTTCACAGCAGATTTGATGTAAATTTAGTGGATGCATTGTCGAACACTTGAGCCTCTCCTGACCCTTGTACCTGTCACCAAACGAACATACCTACTGAGATGGTCGTTCCGTTTTTCACAGTAACTTGCCAATATATGACCTGACAATTATGTGTTTGGGAAGTACGTCAACCGGACTCACATCAACCACTTAAAATGGAAGTATGCATTGTCAGAAAATTTGAGAAAGTGCTAATGCACAATCTTGGTGGTTGGTGCTGACGCCTGCGCAGCAATCTCGCATAGCGGTACAATGGGGTCGAGGGAGAATGTAAACCATTGTGAGGCTGCCACAAGCATTAGCTGGACTAATCACTCAGATGTAGTTGTCGACAGTCCGCAACGGCAAATTAGCAACGTGGAGGTGAACGAAAAGGCTTCCATGTTGTTGAGGGGGCTATGCGGAAAGTAAAAGTCGTTTAAAATTGGCTGTCACCATTGGTCATGTGCATGCATAAATCAGCGAGACACTTAAGGCACATTCGTAGCCCAACCAGGAGCTCAGTAGGTCACAATGAAATTAGTGGGGAAGAGCTAAGCTATGCAGCTCAATACGTAGATGCTGACTAGAGGCTCACTACTGTTGCCTTCTAAAAGAGGTTGTCCGGGAAAGGCGGTTAATTTTCGTTATTTTTGGTGTAATTTGTTCCTCTCTTTGATACCAGACAACTTTAAGTTCACGTATCTGTTGTTGATTGGTGTCTGATGTATAACTTCCATCAGGGATTTGATGAAAGAAAGTGCAACGCAAAAATGCGGTTGTTGGACATTGTATAGTAATTGGTAAAAGAGGACTTTGAATGGACAAGAGAGATAACCTTGGACCTTATTCGGTGATATACTAACCCTAATTGTTATCCAATTGAGTTTAGCCTAATGATGCAGCGTCCTGCTATCAAATTCACCCAAGTGAGTACCGGATATTTTGTGCAGCAGTGCTACTAAACCTTCTTTTCATTGCTTCACTGCACGGGATTGTGCATAGTTATCATAATCCGAGATCACTTAATGCTATCGGAGTAACTAATTATATATTTGGTGGCATGTTATAGTGTGAGTTTTGTCGCTTTGACGCTGTTGCACTGTGGTTCACTATGTGATAGTTGGCTTTGGATCTTGTGGTTGTTTTGGTCATAGTCCTTGTGTGACTTAGCAGTGCATCTTCATCCTCGCTTTGCGCAATTATTTAATGTTCGTTAGCAATAGTGTGCACTGTATGCGCTAATTTTGTTCTGAATGTAGAGTGATGATTTGCAAAAGAAATGCGCAAAGCACAAGTGTGCGTTTAAAGACTCATAACTGGACTTAAGTCTGCTGCAGCACTTAGTTTGTAGACAATTTCTTTTTAGTGGTTCAGACTCGTAGGAGTGCTCTGAGCTATAAACCCTTGGAAATAATCGATGCGAGGTGGTCTGGTGTTGTCTGCTGATTTTGGTATGGCGGCACTTGTGACATCAGTAGATTTTTAGCCTTTCCATTGTGCTAGATCTTCATTAACAACAAATTTGTCAACAGTCTGTCGGGTAAGACATTTGGAGTGGTGGATCCGTCAACGGAAAAGGAGGTGTGTTGTGTGGCGGAAGGGGACGCGGCCGACATTGATAGTGCAGTGAAAGCGGCTAGGGCGGCCTTTCTTCGTGATTCACCATGGCGTTGCATGGATGCTTCGCAGCGTGGTCGACTGCTTTATCGTCTGGCCGACGCCCTCGCTGCCAACGTAGACTACCTCAGTCAGTTGGAGGCCTTGGATGCTGGCAAACCTTTGGAATCGGCTCGGGGAGATGTGGATTTCGCCATAGACACCGTTCGCTACTATGCGGGTTATGCGGATAAAATCCATGGCAAGGTAGTTCGTTAGTCGTTTTATTTTGGCGTCATTTTCATTTGCGGCAAATGCTAGGGCGTTTTGGTCAGTCTGTGCTTTGGATGGGATGTTCACCCGCAAAGCATGACCTCCAGAAGAGATTATTGAATTAGGTATGCAAATTGTTGTGAATGATGAAGAAGTGCACGCTTTTTTGACAAGGATGATGTAATAACTTTGGTACGCAGAACTGGTGACTTGTTTCTGTTTGCGCATCACTTTTTGAAGCTCGATTGTTTTGACGATGCGTGGTGTGAAGACGGATTTTTTTTCTGCCGTAAAGGAAACGAGAGGCGAGCTGAGTTGAGGTCAGTCAGGTTATGGGGCGCATAGTTGGCAGGGTATCTAGAGAAGTTTAAATTTAGACACAAATGTAGACAGAATAAAAATGATTTGGAGGTGGGTGAATTGCTGGCATGAGTGTGGAAGGTGAAGTGGTGGGGTGATCTGTTGGTTTTAGGTGATTCCTTGCAACGGGGACGTCATTTGCTACACCCGGAGGGAGCCAGTTGGGGTGGTGGGGGCCATAATTCCCTGGAATTACCCGCTGGATTTGATTGCGATGAAGGTGGCGCCAGCGTTGTGCGCTGGGTGCTGCATTATTGTCAAACCAGCCGAGGAGACTCCACTTAGCGCACTCTTCTTTGCGCATTTGGTTGAACAAATAGGTGAGTTACAAAGTCGCATCATTTCTGTGTTGAGAACAGTCCAACGTAGTGAAGAATGCAAGGTGCTGAAGGTAGTGATGCACATTGTTTAAGTGGTGGTAGTAGTCACTCAATGAATGTGGTGTTCGTGTGGAAGTTCTTTTGGGTGTGTGACATGCTCGAATGGTCGGGATTAGGGAGCCATTTTGTTCTGTTTTGGATGCTGTTGCTAGTTAATGACTTCATCTGCGTGAGGGGTATTATGGTAGCTGGTTTGGGGAGAAATACAGCTTCAGTTGCACCATGGGTCCGGTAGTTGGTGCATTCGTTGCTACAC